ACATCTATTTTGAAGTTATAGTGCCCCCTGGAGAAAACTCCCCCAGCCGCCACTGGTGACATTATAATGCTGTGATCCACTCTGCTACAGATGATCAGGCAGACACCGAGGTCATCCTCTCACCTCTTCCTGCTCTCTTCTCTTCCAGCGCAGCTGAGCGTTGGCCGCCGCCATCGCCTCGATCACAAACGTGGTGGTCATATAGCTGAAAAAAACAGAAGGAGAGGAAACACATGCAGTTAATCGCCTCCAGAGTTTTTAACGTAGAGATAAACAGATCCAGGTTTGTTTAATAAAGATGCATCGGACAGAGAATCTATTATCATAAAGAGGAACCAAGAATGCAGATGAAGATCTAAGAGAAACCACAGGCTGCTCATCTCCACGACACGTTAAAAACACCAAGCTAACCGCTGGGTGCATGAAATCATGTTCAGAGCCCTGACATGTTTAAAACAAACTTTTACTGATCTTCTTAAGGCTCAAAACGGTAGAATTCTCTTAAGACAAAAATCAAGACACTGAAGACGATTTGCTTCTTCTGTCCGAGCGGAACGGGGCGGCAGATGCTGTCCAAAAAAACTCACAATACATGAAAGACAAAGCAGCCATCAGCAGTATTTATACCTTTTGTAACATGGTGTAAATGTGTGTGCTCTGTGTTGCCTTCTGGACTGGCATCCCTAAAGTGGGTCCTGGGGGGGCCGCTGTCCTACAGGTTTTAGAGGTTTCCCTGCTTCAGCACAGCTGATTTACATAGATAGTAGTTCTTCAGGCTTTTGCTGAGCTGCAATCATCAGAATCAGCTGTGCTAAAGCAGAGAAACCTCTAGAACCTGCAGGACAGCGGCCCTCCAGGATAGGCTTTGGGGATGCCTGATGTGCACAAGAGTTGCGTGCAGTTTATTCTTAAATACCTAAAATGGAAAAAGATGGTATTGCCAAGATTCTTTGACGCATAAGCTATTCTTTCACCTCTGCTCTCTATTGTTTTCCGTGTGTAAGGGTTTCCCGTTCAGTCATTCTGTCCACTGTGTTCTCTGCGTATTGCTAAGCATTACGGGTGCAAATAATAATGGTTTTGTATCGATGCATCGATCCAACAGCCGACGATCCGATGCATCGATACA